GTTTCACGCGTGACCTAGAGGAACGGCACAGGAAAGCCAGCGCCAAGCCCGGGTCCCAGCGGGAGCAATGACAAGGGGCTCGGGGACACGTCCCAGGCGATGCACGGGCACCAGACCCCAGCTGAGACATGCCTTCCCCTCCCACCCACAGTTCTCACCCTCAGGCGAGACAGAATCTGGCTGCTCGCCAGACAGCACCCTCAAAAGGCAGAACCCAGGCCAAAATGCTTCTAAAATCAGGATTCAAGTCTCACTAATTATCCAAGAGGGGATGCACTGGGCCAGAACTGGATTCTAGCACAGCTGTAGCCCTCAGCCCAGACCACGGGCTGGTCTACTGGGGGATTAGCAATTAATGAGATAAACATGATATTCAAGAAGGTTCTCGGGGAGCTCGAAGCTAAGCAGCACACGGGCGACAAGAAGCTCTAGGAATAAACGTGTTGTGCTGAGCTTTTCGCAAAGCATTCCTAGAACCTGAATTAACACCCAAGCAAACGTAGGCTGGAAAGCCTTTGCAGCTCCTCACGCCTTCTAGGAGGAGAAGCTCAGGTTTCATTTCTAACGCTCAGCTCACACTGCATCTGGTCTGCCCACAAGCAAGCAGTAAGTCCAGTAAGTTGGATTTCCAAGAGTCAATACCTTTGAAAACGTTTACATTTAAATGAAATACAATGGAGAAACCACCACAACACATTCCTGTTGCTGTCAGTGATTAGTTCCCCACAGCGTTAAAGACCAGCACCTCACTCTAAATTTAAATTCGCCCACTTTCAGTTTTCCATCAGTACCAAAAAGCTGCCTCAGAAACTTTTTCCTCCCCGCGTATCAGGCGCTGAGCAGCCAGGCGCACATCGGCACACGGACCCGAGGCGGAGCTGCACGACACAGGCACGGGGCCAGTCTGCGAAAGGGCAACACTTGGCCTTCTACATCTGAAAATACTTCTGATGGGAGAAAACGGAAGCAGGCTGCAGCGGATCCCTCGCAATCCCCTCTGCTAGAGGAGCAACACTCGCCTGGCACAGCACAGAGTGCTGCTTACTTGCCAACACCTGTAAACTAATTAGTGCAGGTTGCGCAATGACATTTTCCCCACTGAATCCTGCTCTCTTCAGTTAAACGCAGGCTGGCACCTGCTCGCTTACATCAAAATATCATGAATCAATAGCAAAAAGGAACAGATCCCTCACAGTTTTGTCTCTCATTTAGATCGATGGGATATCAGAGTAAGACGCATTTTATCTCCCCTTACATCATGCCTGACTACGTCCCATTAAATCACACTCACAAAACTCTCCCTAAGTTCTGAGAGGCTGGGGAAAACCTCCCAAAGTGCAGCATTGGATTTAATTTAAGGACCTTGCTGAGCTCTCGCTGAGAAGTGTTCTTGTCCTTAAACAGGGAGAAAGGGGATTCACTCCATCCTCGGTCCAAGGCTCAGACACGTCTTCTCTCCCTTCAGGAACAGGCTGACGGACCGACCACCGACACCAGAACCAACGCACTCCTCCACGGACCAGCTCCCAGTGTCCCCCCATCCCATTCCTGCAAGGGAAACAGGGAGGCAGACGGCACTCCTCGACTGCGGGCACTGTCACCTTTCTCAGGTCCAAGATTGTTCTACTACATAAAGCCCAAGTCTGCAATCAGGAGAGGGGGCAAGGAAGCGCGTGAAATAAAATATATTTACAGAGGACATTTTTTACTGTGAATTCTTTGCAGTTACTGCTTTACGTAAGAAGCCATCCAGAAACAAAAGCAGGATGAAAAGGGGAGATGGGGGGAAGGGGAAATATGGTTGAGTTTATACTGAACAGCTTGGCATACATCAGGCTGGATTAATCAAGCCAGCCAATTTCAAAACACACATAAAAAAAAAAAATCAAGTTTTGCTACTATGTATATTTGTCTGCTGCAGGAGTCTGCCTTTGACTCCTCTGATCATTTGTTTTATGCCCACCACACAGCTGTAAATCTACTCTTCAGTGCAGCAAGTGAGATTAGGACGTTTATTGGCTGTCTCAGTCACAGAAAGGGGATATAATATCATTTACTGCTTCGTGATCCCACAGCAGAAAAATAACCTGGAATCACAGCAAGCTCTCCTGGAGCACCAAGAGGCCACAAAATGGCAAGTAACATTTAAAAAACACTTCTTCCTGCTCAGTGGCTTAACACGAGGCACTCTATTACTCCATTAGGATGTCAGCTGTCTTCTGGGGTGCAAAGCTATTGCCATCAACCACCCAGAATCACACTGCCCAGTATCAGGCAACCAAGAGCCAACCTCAGATGGTTTCTACACCTTCACTTCCCCAACACAAGCCACTTCGCAGCACTAACGAGTGCAGCTTATGAACAACCTGGAACATGGACCTGTTCCAGGACAAACCAGGCACCCGTTCATCTGATCCCTCAGCTCCAGATCAGACCATGCTGGCACGGAGCTGATGGCAGACTCCTGT